ACCCAATAGGCCTTAGAAGTATATGTGGTGCTTTATCACTGAGTGAAGAAGATACTGTGAATGGTGCAAACAACTTACATAGTAAATAATAAATTACCTTTTCTATAAATTATTGCTCACTAAGTAAGCTTTCCAGTAGCTCTATCTGGTTGGAGAGTTTCTTTTTTTTCCTCTTTCTTATCTCCATTGATGTTTTATTTTCAGACCAATTTAAGTGATACTTCTAGAATATCAAGTTTCAGGTTAAAAGGAATGAGAAAAACTTAAATTAACAGATTTAAAACTAGATAATTCTGTGGATTTGGGAGAAAAGGTCTTTTTGGTTAGGAAGAAGATTCTGTGTATTATTAAAAATGTGAGAAAGGAAAAATATTTTTATACTGAGATAAATTCTTTTAGGATTTAAATCAAAATTATTATGCATTGTATTTGTCCATTAGATGCTAGCATGCGGTGATTCCCATAGAAAGAAGGCTTTGACTTACGCGAGGTAAAGATAATTCATGGGGAATTTTGTCCTAGTGTGGAGGAGTTTTCTTCTTTGAACATGAGGAGAGGTCTCTATGGAGCTTGAATTTTACCTTTACTTTGCTCGTGTATTTAAGGCTGTTGAGTGTCCTTGTGTAAACTCATGAGCACCTGTTCTAGATGGTTTTCTATGGGTAGGATGTGTGTGTTTGCATGCCTGTGTAACTCCTCCCACACTGTAAAAGGAATGTTCTGTGCATACGTTATCTCTGAATAGAGTCCATCAGGCTTGGGCCATAAATGGTGCCTCTACTTATGAGGTATCTTTACGATGTAGAGGTAGAATTAGATATTTTTCTCCAATAGTATAAATTCTATGATTTGCATTTTCCAATTTTCTTGTTTGGGAAATGAGAGGAAAACAGAAGAGCAAGGTCTTTGTTTTTTCCCTTCTTGCTTCATCCTCTCCGTAGAACCATATCTAGGTCAGGATATAAGCATCGGGCAATTGCCCTAGAACCAAGCTTTTAAAATGGTCTCTAGTCTCAGAAATCCCAGGTTTGTGATCAATGTCTCCAGGGAGGAAGATTTAAGGGGAAAAGTATCTTATCTGATATACAAGATACATCTGTTTTCCATTGCCAGCAGAACAAATGAACACAAACTTAGTGGCTTAAGTAATGCATATTTAGTATCTTACAGCGCTGGAGGTCAGAAGTCTAACATGGATCTCAAAGGGCTACAACCAAGGGGTCAGCAGGCTGCATTCCTTCCTGGAGGTTGTAGGGGAGAATCTATTTCCTTGCTCATTCAAGTCAGTGGCAGAATTCAGTTCCCTGCAGTTGTAGGACTGAGGCCCTGCTTTCTTTCCTGGCTATCACCTGAGGTTCATTCATAGCTTCTAGAGAATGTCCACACTCTTTGGTTCATGGTCAGTCCCCTTCCTCCAGCTTCAAAGCCAGCAACAGTGAGTTGAGTCCCTTTCATGTAATATCCCTTGTTCTTCATCTTATACTCTTAAGGACCCATGTGATTAGATTGAGCGCACTCAGATAATCCAAGATATTTTCCCCAATTCTTCTTTGTTATTGGTTGACTGATTGTACAAATGGGTCTTGCTATGTTACTCAGGCTGGTCTCAAACTCCTGGGCTCAAGCAGTCCTCCTGACTCAGCCTCCCAAAGTGCTGGGATTACAGATGTGAGCCACTGTGCCTGGCCAATGTCTTCATCTCAAGGTTCTTAATTTTAACCATGTCTACAAAATCCCTTTCTGCTCTGTGAGGTAACGTATGCACAGTTTGTGGAATTGGAATATGGACATCTTTTGGGGGAGAATGGTCTGCCTACCACACTGGTGATGTTAAAAGAAATAAGTCTTCAATTTTCAATCATTCCACAGGTCTCAGTTTTGTATATTGTGTATTAATATCCAGAGCCCCTTTTCCTATGCTAAATTTAGACTTTTCTGCATACACTGATAAGCATTTGAAGACATTTTTTTTTTGAGACAGAGTCTTGCTCTGTTGCCCTGGTTGGAGTGCAGAACATGATCTCAGCTCATTGCAACCTCTGCCTCCTGAGTTCAAGCATTCTCCTGCCTCAGCTTCCCAAGTACCTGGGACTACAGGCATGTACCACCACACCTGGGTAAGTTTTTAATTTTTTTAGTACAGGCAGGGTTTCACCATGTTGACCACGCTGGCCTTGAACTCTTGATGTCAAGTCAAGAGTTCCACCCACTTCGGCCTCCTGAAGTGCTGGGTTTACAGGCGTGAGCCACCATGCCTAGCTGACAATTCTTTTATAATATTTGACTACATAGAATAAAGGGAGAGAAATAGTGAGGAGGGATATGGAAATGAGTTTTACTTTTCCTCCCGAAGTGGAAGACAATAACAACAATCTGTGAACATGTTTAAATGCTGATGGGAAGGAACTGGTAGAGAAGGAGAGTTGAATGTGGGGAAGTGGAAATTATCGCCTGAATCTGTTCTTCCTTTCTGTCATAGTAAAAGAGTTTCAGTTAGGCACCTGGCCATCCAGCTAGAAACTACATTTCCCTAACTCCCTTGCCACTAAGGGTCTGAATAGTGACTAGGTTCCCCTAGTAATGCACTCTCTTGGTATGCTGGAAGGCAGAATGAGGTATCTAGCACAGTTGTGGTCTTCCAGTGGAATGCCAGGGTTCATCATTCAGAAACTGGTGGCAGTGGCAGTTTTTAAATTTGCCTCTTCAAAGCCCTGTTTTTAGCAACCAGCTCTGCTACTACCTAGCAGGAGGTTTGGAGAACACCTCTTCACCAAGCACTGGGGAAGGGGCCTCCCTTGGTAACTGTCCTCTGACTTCCAGAGAAGACAATGGAAATGCTGCAAAAATGGCATGTCCTGATTACAATGAGAAAATGGGATTCCAGAGAGGTAGAGGGTAGGTGGGAGATGTTAACAGACAAAGACAAATTTATGTGCAGTTAGTACAATGCGTCATGGAGAAGGAATGGTCATAGGAGTGTTTTGAAATGAAATCAAGGAGCAGCTTGAGGTCCACTGAGTTGACCTAGACCTCTAGGACTACTGGGCAGAAACAAACTAGACACCATGTTAGGATTCATGGCTCCCTACCATATTCTCAGAACTCAGTCAGTGGATGGATGAAGCCCCTCAACAGAGGTGGAGGCCAGGTGCCTCTGAAGAAGAACTCTGTAGTTTAGACATAGTATATCCAGTGGATTTCCTCCCAAGTCTTCCACAGGGTGACCTGGAGCTATTTACCCAGGGGTCTGCGGACTGGCAGCAGGGAATTCAAAACATACTGGGAACCATCACAGACTGGCTCTGATTTTACACTTTTGCCAGAGACCAAAAACATTACAATCATCTGCCAAAGTAGGGCTTACAGATATCAGGTGTTAGATGAATTTGTGGCTCCAATTCATGTAACAGTGGACCTACTGGGATTGCAGGCCCATCCAGTGTATATTATCCCAGGCCCAGGATACATGGTGGGAATACATACACACACATATATGCATACATGTATATGCATATACATACACATATACTTGGTAACTAGCAGGATACCATTCTGGTTCCCTGTCCTGTTGCGTGAAGGCTACTATGAAAGGAAGGACCATCTAGGGCCTCTGGAGCTCTTTCCAAACAATTCACCAAGCTAGTAAACAATAAGCAATCCTGCTGGGGGGATTGTAGAAATTACTGCTACCATAAAGACCTTGAGAGAAGCAGGGGTAGTAATTCCTACTGTATCTGCATAAAACTTTTCTGTTTAGCTGGAACAAAAGCCTGACAGGCCTTGAAAATGACAGTGGATTATTTCAAACCTAATCAGGTGGTGACATTAGTTGCAGCTATGGTTTTGGATACAGGATATTTACTGAAACAAATTATACCCCCAGGCACCTGACATACAACTGTTGTCCTGGAAAATGCATTCTTTCCCATCCTGACCAGTAATCAAAATCAGAAGCAGTTTGCATTTATATAGCAGAGACAAGGGGATATCTTTATTGTATTCTGTGGAACATCACACAAGTTCTTTACATTGATGATCATGTTGTTTGTTGGACCTAGTGAGAAGGAAGTAGAAAATATATATGCAAAGGGTAGGAGATTAAACCCTCTGAAAGTTTAGGGCCCTGCCACCACTTTGGTGACATTTCAAAAGGGTCCAGTGGTTTGTAGCATGTTAGGAAATCACAAATGGCAGGACTTTGCACCCTCCACCACAAAGAAAAAGGCACTGTATTTGATAAGCCTCTGGATTTTGGTGACAGCATATACCACATTTGGGCATGCTGCACTAACCAACTGAGGAAATAACCCATAAGCTTCCAGTCTTAAGGAAGTCCTGGAACAAGAATAAGACCTGCAGCACGTCCAGGCTGGGTTGAAGGCTGACATGCCACTTGAGTCTTATGACCTAGTGGATTCAATGGCATTGGAACTGTGCATGGCAGCAGAGATGCTGTTTGGAGACTCTGGCAAGTCCCAGAACAAAGTACTCGGTTGTCTAGTGACTGGGCAACCTAAAACAGCCACCACAAACTCTCATCTAATCACTGAACCATAAAACTGGGCATGCCCAGTAGTATTCCATTGTAAAATGGAAATGGCAATTATGAGACACAGCCCTAACAGGTCCAGAAGGTACCAATAAACTATTTTGTAAACTGAGCATGAGCAAAAGGCTAAGACTCATGTCTTATTGGGAGTTGGTATCAATTCAGACATACTCTTACCTGAAACCTAAAATATTAGTATAGTTACATTTAAGATGTGAGAAATTGGGAGGGGGAAACAACTAAAAACTCAAAATACAGTGACTACAATCCTCCAAGTTGAAAACTGTATGAATATTGTAACTTTTCATCACCTCTAAAAGACAGGTGGAAAGGGAGGAGGGGGAGAGGTTAGTCAATGAATACAAAATTACAGCTAGAGAGGAGGAATGAGTTCTGGTGTTCTGCAGACAGCTCTAAGTTACCTGATTGTGATGCTCACACATACCTAGTTTTTTTTTTTTTTCTCCTTCTAGGAACTTGAAAGATTACACTTTGCTGTCCTCCTTGCAACTGGGGCCATGTGGTCCTGGCCAATAGGTTATGAGGTGAAGTCACATGTATCACTTTCAGGCTGAAATATTTAATTGCTGGTGTAAGAACCTCTTGCACTCTCTTCCCTTACTTCAGCAAACCTTGCTACCTGGAGCAGCTGGAATGATCCTAGATGACTGAAACCTACAATGTGTTGGTCAACACTAAATAAGGTCAAAGTACTTAAAAATCTTTCCTTTTATGTTTATTTGATATACAATAATTGTCTATATTTATGTGATATTTTGATACATGTATAAAATGTGTAATGATCAAAACAGTGTAATCAGCATATTCATCACCCCAAGCATTTATCATTTCTTTGTGCTATGAACATTCAAAATTCTCTCTTCTAGCTTTTTGAAAATATATAATAAATCGTAGTTAACCATTTTCACCCTAATGTCTGCAGAACACCAGAACTCATTCCTCCTCTCTAGCTGTAATTTTGTATTCATTAACTAACCTCTCTCCCTCCTCCCCACCCACCTGTCTTTTCTAGCTTTTAATATCCACAGTTCTACCATTTGCTTCCATAAGCCTACATGTGAAAGAGAAGATGAAGTGCTAAAATTTCCTTGGCATAACATAGAGGGAGAAATGTAAAGATTTTGGAAATAGAGATACTAGAGTAGATTTTTCATGTGTAGCCCACCCAACCACTCTCCTTCTAACGTTATCTCCCCAAGAAGGGGCCTGATATGTAGTGATGTTTGTGATTATAAATATCAAAATAGAGTCACTTATGACAAGTGACTCAGGCCATGGTCAAAGTGGAAACCATGTGCAGGGTGAAGGGAACAAACCACACCTGATGATTGTCAAAGAATTGTTTTGCGTGAACACTGTGGAATAATTTTTAAAAATGATTAGTGATCATATGATTCAGTCAAGAGTCCAGCTGAAAACACATGGTAAATTAAATCGAGTGATTTGAAGAGAGTTTAATAGGTTATTCACAAAGGTGTGGACGAGGAGTATGGAAACCATTTGGGATGGTGCAGTAACGGGACAAAAAGGAGGAAGTAATGACTTCTAATGGGAGGTAGACAGGCTGTGTGAATGAACCATCTGAAAAGAGCTGCGACCTTCTGTGCAGGAATGAGCCCCCAGAGGGGAGCTGAAACAATGAATGCTCAACCTCCCTCTCCTCCCTTGTCTGATCTCTGGTTACTGCCCGCTCTTGGCCAAACCTGATGGAAGCCAGAGGACAGGGAAGCCCGTTGTAGTCCAAACAGATGAGCCTCCCAGGGCACGGAGCACAGCAGAGAAGGGGTCTGAGACGATGGATTTGGTGTGACAAATGGAAGAATTCCAACCTGACATAATGAAAGAGAAAATATTTAAAACACACCGTAGCACAAAATATTCCAATTCCCCGATGCTTCCATTACTGCATAACATTTTTTTCCTTTTTTTTTTTTAAGTGAAAGGGAATGAGCTGGAAATTAGATGTTTGGGACATAAATCTACCTACATTCATATGATACAGTATTGTTTATTTTTATTCTGCACCTATATAAATATTAATCATTTACATTTTTCTTGCTAGTGTCCATCTGAAATTGGCTGATACCACGTCATCATCATTCCTATTTTACCTGCAGAGAATGTGATTCATTATGATTTTTGAATATGCCCTCATTCTCCTGTGGCCACCGAAATGGCCTGCTGCAGATTTGACCCAATTATTTCAATCACCTTCACGTTTGATTCTCATCACCATGGGTCGAATGAACTCTGTGGCCATTGACACCGATTATGAAAGGGCTTGCAGGGATAAGATAGGCCGTGCCACAGACTAATAATCTGGCACAGAAACATTCTCAAGAGTCGGTTTAGAAAAAAATCAGTGGAAAAGAAGATGCTGATCCGTTGAAATTCTTTTCCATTTGAATTTTCAGCTACACCGTCACCAGCATTAAAAAAAAAAAAAAGAAAAAAAAAAAGTAAAACAACAGGACAGGTGTCCTGAAATAGGTGCCCTGTCTTTGGAAAGAGCAAATGGGTGACAATATCCAGATCTGAAAGTTACAGCAACATGAAGCTGACCAGTCTGGTTTTGCTCAGGGAACCCAGAGCCGAGCCTTGTGTATTTTCTGAAAGAGGTGAAGGAAGGCAGAGCGAAAACAAAGTTTGAAACCGAAGACTAGTACACTTTTATGCCAAAAAATATAACACCAAAATGAAGCCTGGTAGCCCAGTTTTCTTTCGAGTTATAGGTAATTCTTAATATTTCTAGTAGTGAGCCAGTATTGTATTGTATTGTGTTGTATTGTATTGTATTGTATTGTATTGTATTGTATTGTATTGTATTGTATTGTATTGTATTGTATGTTACTGTATATTGCATTAGCCATACCATTGTTGTCTTTACTCATGGCCTGAAAGAATTTCAACTTTAAGAGGAGATTGTAGTTTCTTAATTAGATTATTTTAAGTGTGGGAGATTATATGTGTGTGCATGTGCATATGAATATACAGTTACAAACTCTCATACCTAGCAGGGTTTTGTTTTTCCCCAAAGATGGTTTATGACACTAGACATTTTCTTGTTGTGAAAGCTTATTGATATTAACTCATATTTCTGTTTATAATATTTATATTGTTTTTATAAATACATCTTACATATATAATATGAAAGATCATATTTATTTGGAGACCACATAATCTAGTTTATTGCTGATTTAAATAAACAGATTTCTTTAGCCTTAACTGGCAGCTCTTCTTTCAAGAAAAGTTAAGAAACCTTACAACTTATATTTTGGTTGCTATTTTAATCACTGTTTTCTTTCTTTTTTTTTTTTGAGACGGAGTCTCACTCTGTTGCCAAGCTGGAGTACAGTGGCGCAATCTCAGCTCACTACAACCTCCACCTCTGGGTTCAAGCAATTCTTCTATCTTAGCCTCCCAAGTAGATGGGATTACAGATACCCACCACCATGCTCCTTCTCTGCTGTGCTCCGTGCCCTGGGAGGCTCATCTGTTTGAACTACAACAGGCTTCCCTGTCCTCTGGCTTCCATCAGGTTTGGCCAAGAGCGGGCAGTAACCAGAGATCAGACAAGGGAGGAGAGGGAGGTTGAGCATTCATTGTTTCAGCTCCCCTCTGGGGGCTCATTCCTGCACAGAAGGTCGCAACTCTTTTCAGATGGCTCATTCACACAGCCTGTCTACCTCCCGTTAGAAGTCATTACTTCCTCCTTTTTGTCCCGTTACTGCACCATCCCAAATGGTTTCCATACTCCTCGCCCACACCTTTGTGAATAACCTATTAAACTCTCTTCAAATCACTCGATTTAATTTACCATGTGTTTTCAGCTGGACTTTTGACTGAATCATATGATCACTAATCGTTTTTAAAAATTATTCCACAGTGTTCATGCAAAACAATTCTTTGACAATTACATCAGGCGTGGCTATTTCCCTTCACCCTGCACGTGGTATTTTTAGTAGAGACAGGTTTTCACCATGTTGGCCAAGCTGGTCTCGAACTCCTGACCTCAGCTGATCCACCTGCCTTGGCCTCCCAAAGTGTTGGGATACAGGCGTGAGCCACCACTTTTTCTTTTTCTTTTGCTCAGTAGGAATCTAGTACTACTTTTCAAGCTTTTCCACTTCTATATACCTAATGGCACAGAAGATTGAATACCTGTTTCCCAGGGGTCTGAGTATTGCCGGGAGGTACCACAAAGGACAAATTTATCTCAAATCTTATATTTTATTTGAAGAATTTATTGGAACTTTGCAATTTATGTGCATGTGTATACTCATGCACTCATATATAACATATAAGATTAAAACAAACATATTGTTTAGAGTTTTAATTTACTTACCAATAAATCTGGTAAAACTGTGGCCATTTTTGTCTTGGTTGCTCTGGATATTCCCTAATACAATGCTACTCCTTTTATGCACCAAGTTGGAAGAGCCCTAGGCATGCAGGTAGCCTGAATGTCTTTCAGCCATCCAACAAAATATTTACTGAGCACCCACTATTGCTCAGCACTATACTGAGCACTTAAGTTACTGTGGGGAACTAGACATCCATTTTCTTGGCTCTGCACCTCTGCCTATGCCAGCCCCTTGTTTAGAATGCCCAGCCGGACATGGTAGCTCATGCCTATAATCCTAGCACTTTAGGAGGCTAAGGCAGGAGGATCACTTGAGCTTAGGAGATTGACATCAGCTTGGGCAACATAGTGAGACCCTGTCTCTACAAAAAAAGAAAAAAAAATTAGGCAGTGGTGATGGTGCATGCCTGTGGTCCTGACTACTCAGGAGGCTAAGGTGGGAGGATTGCTTGAGCCCAGAAGTTCAAGGCTGCAGTGAGCTACATTGCGTCACTGCACTCCAGCCTAGGCAAAAGAGTGAAACCCTGTCTTAGAAACAAAAAAAGTCTTTGGAAATAAACCTGGGCAACACAGGGAGACCCCCCCACCATCTTTACAAAAAATGAAAAAAAATATTAGCTGGGTGTGGTGGCACGCACCTATAGTCCCAGCTACTTGGAAGGCTGAGGCGGGAGGATTGCTTGGGCCTAGGAAGTTGAGGCTGCAGTGACCCATGATAGCACCACTGCACTTCAGCCTGGGTGACACAGAGAGAGCTTGTCTTAAAAGAAAAAAGTGCCTAACCCCTTTCCCCTCACTTATCCAACTTCCATCGATGAGTCTATCTTCCCATCTCACCTTACATTTCTGAGAAGACTTAAACTATTTTATTTCTGGATGAGCACAGTGGCTCTCCCTCAACAGGGCAACAAGGTGGCTGAGCAGGGAGGGGTATAAGTTTCAAGGCCTCTAGCTGAACCCAGGACTGATATGCAAATTAACATCTGAGAAAGGATGTTTTTTTCTTATACTAGCTAGGCTGGATTGCCCAAATTGTTTGAGTGATCCCTGTCCCTCTTAATGCTTCTGTAAGAATGCAAAGTGGCAGGGGACCTGTGGCCTTCTCCTGGAGCACAACCATTGTGTATCCAGTTATATTCTTTCTGAGAGTTGGACGGCAAGAATCCTGAGTATGCACACATCGTGTTCCCCTTGTACCATTTCTTTGAGCCTACACTGTGTGATACAAAGTCCTCTTGTTACACAACAAGGACTATTTGGGCATTTCTTCTTACAAAGACATGATTTAAATGTTTTGTGAGTCTTTGCAGACCAGACTTTTACTTCATTTAGGGATCTAGCAGAGTTTTTAGCAGGTAAGAGACACTCAACAAGTGACAGGTGGATGCAAGAGTAGAGTACACTGCACGTTTGAATTGTACTATCTTGGAATCGTATTATCTCCCATAACTCTTATGGCTCTTATCCCGGGCATACACCATTGCCCATTTACTTTTACATGCGTTAAGCATGATGCCCAACTGAAGAACTGTTGAATGAATGAGCAAATGATTGAATGATTGAAGGAATAAATCCAGGTTTTGATTCCCACCTCCTCCATAATACATTTTCTGACTGTTGCAGTCCCCAGAGATTACTTCCTACTCTGTATCATTCATTTAGGGTATTCATTCTTTCATAGGCTACCATAAATGGTTGGCTGTAGTCTATGTCTGTGTTCCATCCACTCAACCAGGTTTTTTTTTTTGAGATGGAGTCTTGCTCTATCACCCAGGCTGGAGTGCAGTGGTACGATGTCAGCTCATTGCAACCTCCACCTCCCAGGTTCAAGCAATCCTCCCACCTCAGCCTCCCAAGTAGCTGGGGATTATAGGCATCTGCCACCACACCCAGCTAATTTTTGTAATTTCTAAGTAGAGACGGGGTTTCACCATATTGGCCAGGCTGGTCTTGAATGTCTGACCTCAATTAATCCACCTACATTAGCTTCCTAAAGTGCTGGGATTACAGGCATGAGCCACCACGCCCAGCCCACTCAGCCAGATTTTAAAAGGCTGGGACTATGTCTTACACACTTACATCTATTCATTCTGCCTGGTACGGTGTCTTGTAATAGCATGCTCAATATGTGTTAGTTGTCAATAATGAAATTCTGTGAGGACAGTAATGAACTTCCAAGCTGTTGTTCCATTTTGCTTTGACCTTTCTGGTAGAAGTTCTTGAATCTGAAGTAGTGTCAATAGCAATTTACATGACTATAACACATACAAATTTTAGCTTTGATTACGCTAAACTAAATGTATTCCACAGTGAACACGTTATGCTTTTTCTATGAGAAAGAAATTAAAAGTATCTTTTTATCATATTTACTGTAGTGGATGAACAAGGATGCAAGGCGGTGTGTAATAAGGAAAAAAGCACTGCGCCAGGGGGCAGAGTTGTTTCCAGGTGTGTAGATTGGTGGTCATTTTGTGTCTCTGTCACCTGTGAAATGAGAAAGGCCATGGTAGAGTATAGCATGGGAAGTTTGTTGATATACAGTATTGGGGGAAAGCCCACGGCATAATGACAAACAGAGTGATTGGAGCCCCTTAGAACACTGGAAGTCAAGGAGCCCTCTTTGGAGCCAGGCCAATCTTACTATACCTAGTTTTGGGACTTAGGTGAGACATAATGTTACCTTACCACCTGCAGTGAACGCTGATGGAGCTGCTTTGCTCCACATTTACTTTCTTCTGAAAACCGTTCTCCCCTTCCCTATCCACAATGGCGTAGCAGGAGCAGCTGTGATACCATGTGACCCAGTCCTCTGGCCAGTGAGTACCTTCTCAGAATTTATTGGACTGGGCATGAAGAGACAGAGCTGAGTCTCTCTTCCCTTGACACGTCTGAAGAAGCTGCAAGGAATCATGCTTAGGAGTTGTCAGCAGTTAGGTTTCCTGCCATGGAACAGGTCAGTCTAAAGGGAGGCAGGTAAACAAGCAGGTAACTTGAGAGCAGCAAGAGAGGCAAGATACCCTGAGAGCTTGTTGGTATCTGAACTCATGTTTCCAGTTATTCTGAGATCCAGTCTCATTCCTGTCCTCAGTTTTGTGAGGAGCCCCAGGACTTTAATAACAAATTCATCTTTTGCTTAGTCATTGTGCTGGATTACACCATGGCAGGTGGGTTAAGCTGGGAATTACATTTCATGCATAATTCTGGGTTAGAGTTGGCCATAGAGGAAGATGCACAAGATTTGGAAGGTGGAAAAGAAGCAAAGACCATTATTCTTGGAAGGTCGTCATCGTCAGATAGATAGACACAGAGGTGTCTGGGTCCCTGCTTATTCTTCCTCTCCTCCACACTGTCCAGCTTGGCTTCCTAACTGCCAGCACAACTCACCAAAAGCAGACTCACTCCCTTCTACCCCTTACCCGGGTGCTTGGCTGCAAACCCATAGGGGTGGTAGCTACACAAAGGGAACATCTTCCCATAGACCTCTCTGAGAGCTCCCGCTTTGCAGTCTCACTGAAGTGGCTGGGTATATTTGGTGTCTCAGATTTCCCTGCAAGCTCCAGCTTACCTACTCATGCCAGTGCTTTCGGAGGATTCATTTATGACTGTTTCTTAAATTCTCTGACTTTCACTTTCTCAGCTGCTCTCACATTTGTGTGAGATCTAATTCCTATAATAAATCTTTTATTCCCATAATACTCTAGTGGCTCTGCTTCTCTGATTTTACCCTAACCGCTATAGCTAGTTTGTGTTTCTTTCAAAAGCCGAAATGATAGCAACCATCTTTTCCTAGATATTTTGCATTCTTAAACAAAAGGACACAAAATAAAGGGAAATATCAAGACAATACTTTGAGAAAATATGTAATAATAATAATGATAATCTTTTTGAGACAGGGCTTGCTATGTTTCTCAGGCTGGCCTTGAACTTCTGGGCTCATGAGATCCTCCCACCTCAGCCTCCAAAGTAGCTGGGACTACAGGTGCATGCCACTGCACTTGGCTTTATGCAATGTTTTTAAAGGAGACAAATTTTAGATTTTCTTGCAACTTTTTTTTTTTTTTTTTTTTTTTTTTGAGATAGAGTCTCACTCTGTCTCCCAGGCTGGAGTGCAGTGGTGCAATCTTGGCTCACTGCAACCTCCGCCTCCTGGGTTCAAGCAATTCTCTGCCTCAACCTCCCGAGTAGCTAGGATTACAGGTGCCCACCACCATGCCCGGCTAATTTTTGTATTTTTAGTAGAGACGGGGTTTCACCATCTTGGCCAGGCTGGTCTTGAACTCCTGACTTCGTGATCCACCCACCCTGGCCTCCCAAAGTGCTGGGATTACAGACATGAGCCACTGCGCCCGGCCAACATTCTTTATATATATAAAGGACAGACAGATGATAACTCATGGTGATTTTATTAAAATTGCCTATTATGGCCTGAAATTCTTGAACCCAATTGAGAAAGATAGGTGTGACTTCTGCCTTTCCCAGGCAGGTAGAAAATGGCACTTTAAGGAAGGTACATTATGAGAACATCAAGCCTTGGGATAAGGAGGATGCACCTTAAACTTGGATTAGTGACCATGACCTCAACTTTATCACTATAGATTGAGCCAGAGGAGCAGAATCACCAGGAAATGTGTGCATGTGCATGCACATGTGCACACACACACACACACACACACACTCACACTCACACTGTTTTTTATTTTATTTTATTTTAACAGATATTTAACCTGATGTGATTGGAATAGCTGGTTCAATAGTCTCTTCAAAGGCTTTTGTCTTTGTGTCTGAGGATGGAGCTCCAAGTCCAATCTTCCTAAGGCTTTGATACCTTCCTCTGCACTATTCCAGGAAAGTTCTTCAGACCAAGGTATACTAACTTCCTTAAACACACTTGGAAGAGCTGCTTCTCTTGACAAAGAAGGCTCAATGAAATTTAGAGGTTCAGGTCGCCAACTTCATTGGAATCTGCCAATATGTCTCCATTCCAATTTTCTAAGAGCCTACTCATTTTGGGCATGTGGAAATATCCCTTCTGAGGTGAGGGATAAGTTGTTGCATCTGTCCTCTATAAGTTTTCTATTGCTAAGTCACAAATTACCAGAAACTTAATGGATTAAAATAACTCATATTTATTATCTAACAGTTTCTGTAGGTCAGATGTTGGGGCATGGCATGGCTGGCTTCTCTGCTCAGGTATTTACTAGGATGCAATAAAGATATTAGCTGGGACTGTGATTGTCATCTGGGCTTGGCCATTTGTTGCTTTCCTTTTCTGGAAGCTGTTTTGGAGATCTTCCTTTGTTAGTGGCCTCACACAGGAGGGTGTGCAACTAGAGCAACATTTTACAAGTTATTCAAGGTAACTGCAAAGAAACTAGGCATGGAAGGCAGAGAGAGGGGAGGAGTAACACACTTGGGGTGGTCAAGGAAGGAAGAACTTCAGTAATGTGATTTTTAAGATTGAGCTGTTGGCACATGCAGAACACATTTTGATAACAAGCTAGTAAAGCTAGCTACTTAAACTTTTTTGGTAGCAAGTGATCAAAGTTTTATTTTATTTTCTTTAAGAAAAAAATTTGTTGACGTAGTTGGAAAGTTCAGAAGCTCAGCTAACTTCAGATGTGGCTGGGTCTAGGGGTTCGTAGTGTGGTTGGATACGCTTGTTTTCTCAGATTTCCCTGACACCCACGACAAATTGGGGGTTGTCAGCAGTTAGGTTTCCTGCAGTGGAACAGACTGGTCTACAGAGAGGCAGGCCTGAGAGAATTTCTCTTCTCCAGGTTTAGCCAGGCCCTTTCCTAGTCTGCATCTCATCCTTTAATCTTTCAGTGTTAATTTTGAACTCCTACGTCCTAATATGTACTTTAATTGTAGCAGAAAGAAGTGCTTCCTGTTATTTCTCTAGAATAATTTCATGGATAGTGATTGGCTTGGCTCCAGCCACATTCCTTTTTCTGAATCACTGTGCTATGCACATGGCATGGGGTGAACAAATTGGCCAGGTCTGGGCTATGTGCCCTTTTTTGTAGCTGGACTAAGGGTGGGAGGACATTGATGGGGGCAAGGTGGAATGGGTCCAACCGCACCTGTGCTGCATGGAATGCAATCTCTACAAGAAATACAAATGGTGTTTCCAGGTGCAGGGGGAGGGGATGTTGAGCAGGCAGAAACAGCAGATATCTTCTACACTCAATAACCATTGGCTTTGGTTCTATAAGGTCATGGAGAGGGCTGGGGAGAGAGGAGAAGAGATAGCGCCTCACCCAAAGGTTTGAGTTACTTTTGTCCACCAAGGGGGAACATACCCATAATTCCATATCATTCAGAAAAAAATCTTCCCAATGTATAATTTTTAGAGAAATTATGGTATCTTAAGAGTTATTTTAGTCAGTTTCTTATGTACAACTTTCTAGTTTCTTGTTAATGTTTCCATTTTCCCCATTATCCAAGCACAGTAAAGGAGCTTTCTTTATTCTTTCTCCTCTCTGACCCATCAGATTTGACAACTCCTGCCTTGTAATGTAGTTTACACCTTCCTGGTCATTATTCTGGGTGAGATCTTTATTACCATAGACACAGCCTGTCAGGAGTCTACTAACTAGTCTCTTCACTTCAAGTAATCCTGCCCTGTACTGCCAGATGAATCTGATAAAATCTTATTTTGATTATGTCAATTTTCTACTTTCACAGCCTGCATTTGCTCCATATATGTATTCAGATGAACTCCGTACTTTTTACCTGGTGTCTTAATCAATTTTCTTATGTTTACAACAGAATAACTGAAACTGAGTAATTTATGAAGAAAAAGAATTTATTTCTTACAGTTATAGAAGCTCAGGAGTTCAGGGTCAGGGGACTACATCTGTTAAGGGCCTTCTTGCTAATGAAGACTCTCTGCAGTCTCAAGGTGGTGCAGGGCATCACTTGGCAAGGGGATGAATGTGCTAGCTCAGGTCTTTCTCTTCTTATAAAGTCAGGAGTCCGCTCTCGTGATAACCCATTAATCCATTAACCCCTTAATCCATGAATGGATTAATTCCTTCATAAGGATGGAGCCCTCATGATGTAATCACCTCCCACAGGCCCCACCTCTCAATCCTGCCACATTGGATTACATTTCAATATGAGTTTTGGAGGGGACACATATTCAAACAATAGCCCTTGGCGTCCCCAGGCCTCTATAATATGGCCTGGTCCCCTCTATCCTGTCCTCAGGCCATCTTTCTGCTTACAGTCACAGCAAACATGCCCAGTGTTGCTTCTGCACGGTGCCTATTCATCCTTCTCACTCACAACTCTCTCCCCTCCCTGAGTCTCCCATTTGAATCTAATCCATTCACTATGGCTCAGCCTAAGTCCAGCCGCCCGCGAGAAGATTTCTGTAATATTCCCAGTTGACCCTTGTCTCTCTTCTGAACCCCATAGGACTTCTTCTCTGAACTGCCTGTCACACATTTCCCTTACTCTCTTGTGTCACTAGTTATTTTTCATGTATAACTGTTGTGTGTTCTCAACTCTCTTTTCAGTACTTCAAGAGAGTCGTGTCCTAAAGCCTGTTGTATTATTGTCTGTGGTTCACAGGGAGGTGGTGTGTTGCAGGAGGATGGCACTTCTTTTTTTTTCTTGAGACAGAGTCTCACTCTGTCACCCAGGCTGGAGTTCAGTGGTTTGATCACAGCTCACTGAAGCCTTGAACTCCTGGGCTCAAGCAATCCTGCCTCCTGAATAGCTGGGACTACAGGCACGTCACCACACCCAGCTAATTTTTGTATTTTTTGTAGGGATGGGATTTTGCCATGTCGCCTAGGCTGGTCTCAAACTCCCAAGCTCGAGCAATCTGCCTGCTTTGGCCTCCCAAAGTGTTGAAACTTCAGGTGTGACGCACTGCTCCCCGTCCAAAGATGGCATTTCTATTACTGTGTGACTTTGGAAAACCCTCTGAGCATGAATTTCCCCACTTGCAGTTTGAGCATAATGATAGCTACCAGGCAGGACGGTGGAAAGGGTTAGCCAAGATGCATGTAAATGGAGACTCCCAGGGGCTGGTATATGATAGGAGCACAATGCTTGGTAGCCAGAGGCAGTGCTGAGTAAGGGCTGAATAAGAAGGCCCATCACTATCCATCTTGGTGCCTTCAGCATCTGGCATGCTTCCTGAACCTCTCATCTGCAACTGAGGATTTAATTCAATCAGCATTTTGTTTTAGTTTGAGTTCCCTCAGAAGCAGACCATGAGACAAGAATGTAAATGTGAAGGTTTATTTGGGAGGTGACTCTAAGAATCATAGAAAGGGGAGTGGGGAGGTGAGGTAGGGAAGGAAAGGAAACCAACACAGGGTACATTAATGGGTAGGTTACCACTGAGTGCAACTGGGCTCCAACCTACTGGGACCATCTGAAAGACTTTGTAGAACATGCTCAAAATCATCACCAGAGAGACAGGAAGTGAGTGCCTTTACCACCAAACTCCATCCGCTGTGGCTGCTCACAGGGGTGCTGACAGCCCTATCCTTCCGGACTTTTCCTCCTGATTGTTGAGTTCCTGCAGCAGAGAGAGCTCCTGGGCAGAAAAATTCAGGAAAGAGTTGCCAAATTCAGCCAGCAAAAACACAGAATGCCCAGTTAAATTTGAAATCCAGGTTAGCAACAAATACTTAAAAAAATGTGTGTGTCCCATATTATAGATATTTAAAAATCATTTTCATGGGATATACTTAGAGTAAAAAATTGTTTATCTGAAGTTGAAATTGAACTGAACATTCTGTATTCTACCTGGCAGCCCTAATTGAGGGGCTTGCTTGGGGGATAAGGGTGGAGTAAAGTGTCTACTTTTATTGAGTATTTATCATGGGTCTAGAGTGGGATTTCTTGTGGGAATGCAGAATTAATGAATAAGTCTCCAGACCCTGCCTTGCCCCTTGAAGTTGTAATTAGATTTGAATGAAAGATGTGTGTAGAACTGCTTTGAAAATGATAAATGCTGCACAAACAAATTACACAGAATTATTCACTTTTAAAACTTACTTTTTAAAACATCAATAGTGTGTCTAGCATAGTAGCTGCTCAATTAATATTTGTCATGTCAAAATGAATTATTATTACTTTTTATTCTTTTATTTCTATTATATTTCAATAGTTTTGGGGGAACAGGTAGTGTTTGGTTGCATGGAAAATTTTTTAAGTGGTTATTTCTGAGGTTTTGGTGCACCTGTCACCTGAGCAATGTACACTGTACCCCATGTGTACGCTTTTATCCATTGGCTCCCTCCCAACCTTCCCCCTGAGTCTCCAAAGTCCATTATATCATTCTCATGCCTTTGTGTCCTCATTGCTTAGTTTTCCATTCCTGTTTGTTTTTCCATTCCTGAGTTACTTCATTTAGAATAATGGTCTCCAACTCCATCCAGGTTGCTGTGAATGCCATTATTTTTTTCCTTTCTGAGGCTGGGTAGTATTCCATAATATATGTATATCCCACATTTTCCTTACCCACTTGTTGCCTGATGGACATTTAGGCTGGTTTCATATTTTTGCAATTGTGAACTGTGCTGTTAGAGACGTGTGTGCAAGTGTCTTTTTCTTATATTGACTTCTTTTCCTCTGGGTAGAAACCCAATAGTGGGATTGCTGGATCAAATGGTAGTTCTACTTTTAGTTCTTTAAGGAATCTCCACACTGTTTTCCATAGTGGTTGGACTAGTTTACATTCCCACCACTAGTGTAAAAGTGCACTCTTTTCACCACATCCACACCAACATCTGTTCTTTTTTGATTTTTAAATTATGGCCAGTCTTTCAGGAGTAAGGTGGTATTCCATTGTTGTTTTGATTTGCATTTCCCTGATAATTAGCGATATTGAACTTTTTT